GTACAAAACATACTTTTCAAATGAAGAACTTTTGGAATACAAAACTAGAAACTTAACCAGTAAAGGGTTTAATCCCTTTTATTAAACCTGTAAAACTTAAAGGACCTTAGGTGGTTAATTCTATAATACCTTAGTTTATACACCAAGGTTATATATAATTAACATCCGATAGGTAGTTGGATGTGTGCCTTCCGCCTCATTCCCTGTTCCTTGTTTGGTTGTGGGTTTAGGGCAGATTCACACAATTAACTATCTGTTCGATATTAGATTATATATAACTAGTATAAACTAAGTGATTATAGAAGGAACTACTGTGGTTATCATTTTATTAAAAGAAATAAGGGTTTTCTTAAAGGATCTTTTCATTAAATATAAAGGAACTATTACAGTTAACTCCGTGAGTAACGAGTGAATACGCAGGGGTTATATACAACGACGATCTAACAAACAATGGGATGCGTGTCTTCCACCTCATTTCCTGTTCCTTGTTTGGTTGTGGGCTTAAGGCAGATACACACAACCGATTGTTTGTTTAGTTTGGGTTTTATATAACTTGTATCCATTTAATACTCATAGAACGGACTGTAGAGTCATTTTTACTTATCTTTCGTCAAAGCAGGAAATATAGGATTTTCTGGAGGAACAGGCAAACTTTACTAAACATGACGTCCACCGCCCCAAAACGTTTCTGCCGTTCCGGTTTTGGGGTGTGACATTATCCGTTACTTTTACCCCATGTGGATAAAAGCGATATCTGGGCCCCTTGATGGTTTAGTGATGACACCAGGCCTGGACTAATTTGATTTGTTCAATTAGTTGGTCGTCATAAATCGGAAATCGGGAAACAACAGATGGATAGAGAGAATGATTATAATCCATGTCTCAGTCCATATGATATTCATAATGGAGGAATATATGGTCCCTTATCTAATAGACGCGTCATTTAGTAAGTCAGAGTTCGACATCGGCTTTTAAGAGCTACGATTGCTAGTCCGGTTGTGGAGTCGTACTTACAATAATAGTTATTAGACTTATCCAAGTGGGAAACTATTGGATTAGTGTCTAAGTCCATAACTATAACTGATATGTACTTGACCCGATTTAGCATGGCCCATTTGGGTTGCACTTCACCAGAACAATTTGGACTTTTGAGAATAGGATTTTTATGATTTATTAATATATTATAAGTGATAGTATATTAATATAAAATCATATTATTTAATTAGTATTGATCAAGAATTAGTTTGGAATTAATATTGTGATATTAAGAGACTAATTAAATATATAGGGATTGATTGTGTAAATCATTCATTCTTATAATGTGGACTAATGATTCATGATTCCTTATGTTGGGCTTAACCCATGTGCTGACCCATGGATACTCCATGGAGGTTAAAACCCATGGATCATGAGGAATGTGGAAAGTCATGCACATTAGGGTTTACATGGTGTAACCCTAATGTAACCACACTATATAAGAAGCCCTTTGGTTCAAAAAATTGGCACCTAGAGTCTTTTCAAGAGTGTGGTTGATTTTTGTGAGCTAAATAGTCCTCTTCCAAGTTTCCAAGTGTTAGTGGTGATTTGTGATTCCACTTGAGGCATTCACACTATTGGTGCTAGGCTCTTAAAGCGCCAAGCAACAAGCTACAAGAAAAGGTATGTTATCTAACTTGTTTTATTACCCAAGCATCAAAGTTTAGTATGCTAGTTAGGGTAATACCTTGGAAAGTTCAAGTTTGCATGTATAATAGAGAAAACATAGATCCAAGGTGTTTAGGGTTGCATGTACACCTTAAGAGTATTAGAATGCTCAAAACCCTTTAAAATAGTCATGCAAACTTACTTAAATTCAACAATAAGTAGAGAAAATATTTATCAAAAGTACGTGAGGTTCTTTGATAAGCTAGATCAACAAATAACCAATAAAAACTAAATCCTATCCATAAATCAATTCATAATTAAGCAAACAATCCTAGGCTAAAAAAAAGTCATGAGGTTTAGCCCATGATTTCAGCAACTAAAGTCATAAAAACGCGATTCATAAGCATAGCCATGATCAAATTAGAAAAGAAAATCGTAATTAAGAGTTTATTTGCCTTAATGCTCTCAATTCCCAAGCTTCGATTGGTTTCTTCACTTACAAGCCTTAATTCTGAACTTTGGTCTTCGAAAATTATCAGAAGCTTCAGCCAAAAGGTTCCCAATCCGGAGGAGAATGGGATATATTTATAGTTTTCCCAAAATCAGGGCACCACGACGTGTTGAGGCCACCACGTTGTCGTCTTTGTGATTATCCCGTATTCACCAAGCCTTCGAAACCAATTGGGAAACTTCAAAATACCACGTCGTGGTCGGATCACCACGATGTTTTGAGTATCTTTTTCTTCATTTTAAAGTATTAGCTCAAATTCCTAGCTTCCAGCATCCAGCTTCCAGCTTCCTGCTTCCTTTTTGCTCCATGCATGTCTTTTACCCCTATAACACAATTCATAAGAAATTAAGTACCTTTGGTTCAATAAAGGGCATAAAGGTAATTAGGAATTTTAAGATATTATGTATAATTATGTGTATAAATATGGACATATCAAAATACCCCACACTTATTCTTTGCTTGCCCTCAAGCAGATTGATTTTTATTATCCCACCAATATCGGATAAAACAATCCTTTTCAAACCCAGCCGTTATCCCAAGACCGTACTGCATGTATTTGTGTCTATAATTCCTAAGAACTTCCCATTCCTAAATACTCACAATTCATATGAACCTTCACCCCTTAGCTTATATGACATTCATATTTTCAACCCTCTGAATCCATCCCCATAAATCTTTCTTAACGTCAAGGTGTTTTTGGTTAAACTACCAAGCATACATAATTTAGAAAAAAATACAAATTTGATACCATATTGGAGCTCTTGCAACTCATCTCTTCTTTGAATAATTGATCTTTGATTTCTTTGAATTCACCACCTTTTTGTTTGATTTTTGGTATCTTCAGTTTTTTTTTTGGTATTTCTTCATAATTTTTGATCTTTGAAATTTTACTTTGATAGCTCCAAAATTCTTCAACTTTTCCGGTAATTTCTCTCTCTTTTTTTACATGTATCTCACTTTTTTTTTCTCTCAAAACCCTACATGCCGAAGCAAGGAGCTTAACTCTAACCTTTATTAATTAGAAGCATTAGTCTAAGTGCAATGACTACTTAAGCTTCCCTGGATAGATTTCAGGCTTAGGCTGCAAAACTTGTTACACCATATAAGCTACCAGATTCCCTTTCATACTTCATGGCTTTTCACTAATAATGGGAATCCACAAATACACTATAACATGTGTTGACTTGGGTAAACATTTGGGCTCTCTTCGGATCATCCCTTCCAATACTAGCAAAAATTTTAGTTAGCTAGGTTTTCTTAACTTAAACTATTGTTTCAAGTTTATATGAATGCAAATTTTGAAATCCAGCAATGCAAATCTTAAAATCAAATGCTTTTTTCTAATGCAATATACTCCCTACCTCACACTTAATTCACGCAATTCCCTCATTGCATGCTATGCACGACATGGAATTAAAAAGAGGGAGAAAAAGAGACTCCCCTGGGATAGAAGATGCATCTTGGATCGTGTTGCTAGTGTGAAGGATCGTGTGCTCAAAAGTATGGAAACGGAAGTGTTTGACCGCTACGGAACGTGACTAAATGACTCGGACACTTAGACTTCAGAATGTATATGATTTGACTCGAAAACGGACTCGAGAAGGCACCACCTCGTGGTCATGTGGAACACGTCGTGGTGGCTTTAATAGAGTAATAATTCGGTGTTTTGACTGCGATAGCACGACCTGTTGTCTAGTGCCACATCGTGGTGATCGTAAAATGGCCCAAAATTGTGCTGAAATAAGCAGATTCCTGAACTATTATTTAACACCAACTAATATACACATTGCTTGGACGTGACTCTTCACTCGTTGACTCAAATTAACACCTGAAAATGCTCTAATCACGCCTCTCTAGCCGGTTTCTAATCTTTCTATAAAAATAACTTCCTTTTGCCAAAAGTACCGTCACTTGGACTCTAAAAATTCCTGGAAATCTAAAGCAAAGGAAGGCAATAAAGTAGAAAACAAACTAAAACAACCAAAATAAAAGTAGCAACATCCCAACAAACCACACCAAACAAAAGAAATAAAACAAACAAAAGAAGAGAAACAAGTCTTAAAAACCAATGCGTAAAATGATAAAACTCTCATTCCTCAATCTTCATCATCATAGCCATCACCTTCTCCACCACTGCTACCAGTACCACCATACCTTGCCCTCCAACGTTCATCCCAATTGTGAATGTAAGGGTAGTTGGGAAAAGAATCGGCGTGTGTATGTTCATGTGGCTCATCATATGCTCAAGTTTCATGTTGGTGTGATTCAAACTACGACCTATATCATCTTGATATGCTCTCAATTCTAAATTATATGGGTCCATGGGTAGTTCATCTTCTATCGGAATGACGAGGGGTTCATCTTCACCTGGTTCCCTTCCTATCTGTCGGACCCGCCACCCGTGTTGGTCGCGTGGTGTATCATTGGGAATGGAAAAATTTTCAAACCCATGATCCTCAACAATGTTTGCCCGCTCATAAAGGAGAGGAGAAAAGGCCTTTTGAGGCTCAATTGTCAAGAACATAACCTCGCGTTTATCAAGAATACCAAACGATCGTGCAAGCCTAGTGATCAACATGCCACCATATAGAGGAGAACCACACCTATCTTTTCCTACCCGAACAGAAAGAAACTCCGCCATAAGGTAAGGAAGATCTACATAAGTGTTGGGAGTAATGAGAGCCCATAAGAAAAACAGATCTATAGCCGGGCCCTTGTCCCCCTCCTGTCGTTGATTGATCGTGTTTGTGATCAACCGATGCAAGAGGCGATGAACGGGGGACCGGATTCCACTCTCTTGGGCGGTCCCCTTACGGTACGCCCCATTTGCAATGCTTCTCCAATGTTATTCGGCCTTAAATCCTTCAGTAAGTTTGATGCTACCCGTGATAAACTCCATGTAATAATCTGTGTGCACCTCGGACGAAAGATAAATTTCCGTCCTTAACGCCAAATCGGTGAGGTTAAGCTCTCGCCTTTCCCCCTTAAGGCAAAATGTGATATTCTTTTTCTCCAATGCACCGATCTTACGTCGGAATGAAACTATAGCCAAGTTCTCAACCACCAACTCCTTATAAACCACTTCTTGAATTTGGAATAATCTCCGCCATCCCATGCATATAAATGGCCCATGTACCCCCGCAAAAGATTTTTCCAAGAATGGCTCAAGTCCTTCCAACAAACCAGTTTGTTCAATCCAATTCCAGTCAACAACAGCGGGAACTTGAACTTTCCTTTGCTTCATCCATTCTAGCTTCCCATTCCACTATGCCAATACTCCAGGACCCACAACTCTTGGAAAAGTATACCATGGAAAGTCGTTGCGGTTGCCGGATTGGTTTCTTCTAGAGCGGCTGGCCATGACTGCAAAATAACCAAGAACAACATACAAATCAACCATGTGCAAGATTAAAATCAAACTAAAACAGATTAAGGTTAAAAATATTTCACCACGCCGATTCATCGTGGTCCACGAACTGGTCGTGATTTCTGGGAACTATCGAACAAAAATCCAAGCATAATCAATTAAAATCAATTTAAGGTTTTGCTTAGGACATGTTTTAGTGTAATTTACTAACAATTTCAAAGTAAAAATATTAACATTTGGGTCTGATTTTTGCAAAAATAGGAACCCTAGTTCATATGTTCGACCCTAAATCTTGTTTCAAACAGCAAATGTGGACCAAATACTACTAAAACTCGATTACCAGTAAGGAAATTTCATAAAAATCCAACCTTTTGCTTGCAAAATCAAAGAAATCGGAAGTGTGGAGGGAATTTCTTCATGGGGATCGACAACACGGCGAGACGAAGTGGATGTAAAAAGTCAGAAAGTGTTTTGACTGTGGAATGAAACCCTAAATTACTGAGTTTAAAACGACACCACGTCGTGGTGGATTCTTGAAATTCGTGAAACTGTTTTCTAGAAAGTTGCCACCGCATGGCGAATTTTACCACGTCATGGTTTAAAAATAATGTCATTTTTGTCAAATTTTTATAAAAGTCTCCACCTCACACTCATTCCATGCCATTACCCACTTTGAAATCCATATAAAAATTCAGAAGAATGAGTGAGTAAAAATCAAGAATAAATAAAACAAAAATAAGCAAAAATAAAGTAAAATAAAATAAAACGAAAGAAAATGCAAACTCAAAACCACAGGTTGCCTTCTGCAAGCGCATCTTTTTGGGGAGTCATGAGTCAGACTGCTTCCAGCTTTACGTTGATTCGGCTAGTGTAAATTCCACAATTTCCCCTTTTTTTTCTTCATTCGCCATACCTTCCTCGTAATGCTTCACTCTATGCCTATTGACCTTGAAAGGGGTTCCATCTCTTGATATCAACTCAATAGCTCCATGTGGGAAAACTTGTTTAATAATGGAGGGCCTATCCAGCTAGTTTGTAATTTTCCCGGAAAAAGCTTTAATCTTTAATTGAAAAGTAGTACCTTTTGTCCCTCATGAAAATCCTCGTGCCCTCTTATTCTAATGTCATGCCATTTCTTAGTCTTATCTTTTTAGATCAATGAACTAGTGTATGCTTCGTTTCTAAGCTCTTCAAGGGCATTCATTTGCATCAAACAGTTGGTACGAAGTTGGGCCAGTTCAAAATTACAAATCTTTAAGGCCCAAAATGCTTTATGTTCCATTTCCACCGGAAAATGGCAATTTTTTCATATACCAACCTATATGGTGTATTACCAATAGGTGTTTTAAAACCCGTGCGAAATATCCAAAGTGCATCATCAAGCTTTTCCGACCATTCTTTTTTATTTCCTCCAACCGACCGTTCCAATATTCGTTTCAATGCACGGTTTGTGACTACAGTTTGTCCACTTGTTTGAGGATGATATGGTGTTGAAAATCTATTGTGTACACCATATTTTTGTAACACCTTAGCCAATTGATCGTTTGCGAAGTGGGTACCCCGATCACTAATGAGAGCTTTAGGAACACCAAATCTTGAAAATAACGTTTTAAGACAATGCACCACCATACGAGCATCATTAGTAGGTAGTGCTTGTGCTTCCGCCCATTTAGATACATAGTCGACCGCCACCAATATGTATTTAATTCCTTCTAACATTGGAAAAGGTCCCATAAAGTCAATCCCCCAAACATCAAATGTCTCACAAACTTGGATGCTATTTTGGGGCATCTCGTTTCGGGAGGAAATGTTTCCCGAACTTTGGCTCGAATCGCACTCTTTAACAATTTGAGTAGCAACATTAAAAATTGTAGGCCAATAGAACCCGATATCAAAGACTTTTTTCGTCGTGTATTGTGCTCCGTGATGTCCTCCGGTGGTCCCGCTATGGCAATGTTTCAATATTTCTCGACTCTCCTTCTCGAACACACATCTTCTTATCATCCCGTCTGCGCAACTTCTAAAGAGGTAAGGCTCATCCCAAAAGTAATACTTGACTTCAGAAACTAATTTCTTCTTTTGTTGTCTAGTCAACTCGTTTTGAAGATACTCACTTGCTAAGTAGTTAGCTATGACGGCATACCAAGGGACCTCTCATTCTATAACCATAAGATATTCTTCGGGAAAATCATCTCCAATCTTGTTTTCTTTCAATTTTCCAAATGCGGGTTTTCTAGTCTCGATAAGTGATCAGCCGCCACGTTCTCCATTCCCTTTATGTCTCTAATTTCAATGTCAAACTCTTGTAAAAGAAGCACCCAACCTATCAATCTTGGTTTAGTATCTTGTTTAGCAGAAAGATACTTAAGGGCATAATGGTTGGTAAAAACAATAGTTTTGGATAGATATAGATATGGGTGGAATTTATCAAAAGCATAGACCACCGCAAGCAGCTCCTTTTCGGTAGTAGTGTAGTTCTTATTGAGTCGGGTTTAGAGTCTTGCTTGCATAGTAGATAGGTTGAAAATGCTTGTCAACCCTTCATCCCAAAACAACGCCAACTGCATAGTCACTAGCATAGCACATTAGCTAAAAAGGAAGAATCCAATCTGGGGCGATCATAATAGGGGTACTAGTCAACTTTTCTTTCAACAATTGAAATTCTTCAAGGCACTCCTTAGAAAAGTCAAATGGAGCATCCTACAAAAGAAATTGTGTCAATGGCCTTGTAATTTTCGAGAAGTCTTTAATGAATCGACGATAAAATCCCTCATGTCCAAGGAAACTTCTCACCCGTTTTATATTATTTGGAGGTGGTAATTTAGCTATAGTGTCAACTTTTGCTCGGTCCACCTCTATCCCCATTTTTGAGACCTTGTGTCCGAACACAATTCCTTCTTAGACCAGGAAGTGGCACTTTTCCCAATTTAGGACTAGGTTGGTCTTCTCACATCGTGGTAGCATTAGATCAAGGTTGTAAAGACAATCTTCAAAAGAAGAACCGAAAACCGAGAAGTAATCCATGAAAACCTCCATGAATTTTTTGATCATATCGTGGAAGATGGCCATCATGCACCTTTGGAATGTGGATGGTGCATTGCATAACCCAAATGACATGCGTCTATATGCAAAAGTCCCACTTGGGCAAGTAAAAGTTGTATTTTCTTGGTCTTGTGGGTCAATAGGAATTTGAATGTACCCCAAAAAACTATCAAGGTAACAATAGTAGAGATTACCGGATAGCCTTCCGAGCATTTGATCGATAAATGGTAAAGGAAAGTGAACCTTGCATGTAGCATCATTAAGCTTATGATAGTCGATGTAAACGCACCACCCGCTTAACGTTCTTATTGGGATTAGCTCATTGTCTTCGTTAGTAACCACCGTCATTCCTCTTTTCTTGGGTACCACATGCACCGGACTTACCCATGGGCTATCGGATATTGAATATATGATCCCCGCATCCAAAAGTTTTAACACCTATTTCTTCACTACCTCATGCATATTCAGATTTAGTCTTCTTTGGTGTTGTACTATGGGCTTGGCTCCTTCTTCTAAGTTAATTTTGTGCGAACAATAGGTGGGACTAATTCCTTTTATGTCGGTTATCTTCCATGCTATGCCACTTTGTCTTTTCTTTAGTACTTAAAAGAGGATTTCTTTTTCATGTTCTGCTAGATTAGTGCGATGATTATTGGTTTTTGTTGACCATCTTCCAAGAATGCATACTCCAGATGTTCAGGTAAGGCTTTAAGCTCGATTTTGTTGGGTTATGAGTAAAACATCAATCCTATGGTGCACATGAAAACCCTAAAGCTTTGGATCTAGGTTTTTCTAGTTGTACATGCAATAATCATCCAAAGCTTATAAACCCTACTTCTAGCATACAAAATTCAAAAATCATAACTAAAGAAGAGTTAGGATATTACCTTTCAATTGTAGCTTGAAGACCTTGAGCTTTTGAGAACCTAGCACCTCAAATGTGATGCCTCTAATAGATCACAAACAACAAAGCAATTGGAGAATGCAAGAGAGAGAGGGATGAGGCTATTTTCGGCTCTTGGAACTCTTCTAGGGTTAGTGTTAGCCGAAAATATGAAGCCAAGGGGTGTTTATATATGTCAGGAATTAGGGTTTCAGTCAAAAACCTAATCCGGCTGCTTAGGCTCTAAGCAGCCCATAGGAATCTTCCAGAATACCCATCCTTGGACGATTTCTATATGGGCTTCCATATAAAATCGTCCATCCCTTTCCTAAGGGATCCACAACCCATATTGTAACTATCTTATAATTACAATATCAGTCCCCTAAGTTTAATTAATCTCTTTTGACCACAAAATTAATTCTAAATTAATTCTTGACCAATATTAATTAAACAATATGATTTCTCTTTTAATATATTATTCATATAATATATTAATAAACCATAATAACCTCTTTCTCCATTATTCATCCAGTCAAGTTGATTTGGTGAAGGCAACAAAAGGACCATGATACAACCGGGCCAAGTACATACCAAATATAGTTATGGGATTAGACACTAATCCAACAGTCTCCCACTTGGATAAGTCTAATAATTATAAATGCAAGTACGACTTAAAAATCCGATTAGCAATCGTAGCTCTGAAAAGCCGTTGTCGAACTTTGACACGTCCTTTAGATAATGGATCGTATAATCCTCCGTTCTCAAGATATCGTGTAGACAAATACATGGAACATAGTCATACTTATTGTCCAGCAGTTTGTTTCCCGATCTCTAATCTGTCTGACATAGAACTTACTTGAACACATCAGTTCAGTCCTGACCGGGCCCGACACATAAGTCAAACCAAATCATCGAGGGGCCCAAGATATTGCTTTTAACCTCGTAGGATAAA